GGGGGGGGGGGTGGGGGAATCCAAACAATGGGTATGACCCAATTCTAGTTCAGAGTATGCAGGTTCTTGTTCCTGTTCTGTCCTTACTATGCAGCCATGCACCACTTAAGGTACATACATAGACCAATTAGACCAGCCTGATGAGTAGCTGAAAGCAAAGCAAGCCCTCTGACAGGTAGATAAGCAATCTCGGCTGAGGTTCTTCAAACTAGATTCACCTCCCATCCTGCCCAAGGCCATTAAACTTGTTATTTGAATGCTTCAAATACTGGATTCATTGCTGGTACATCAAATGAACATCTATCAGCACATCACACCTTTTGGAACTAGGCAGTAAAAACACAGCCAGCTTGATGAATCACTCTGCATTTCCAAAAGGCTAGGACTTGTGCTAAATAAAACTCAAACTGAGTGACGCAAGTTTCAGTCTGCACTACAGATCAGTCCTTATTCTGAAGGGAACACTTGGAGCACATTAGCCCTGGACATCTGCTGCTAGCATGCTAAGTGCCTCATTAGTAAATCATATCCTGTCAGTGCTTTCCTTTTTCCTGGTGAAAAAGGTATTTTCAACACCTGCATCTCTCTGGTTCTAAATGGACAGAAATCAGTTTCTACATTGTTTGTATCTCTACTGAATCCTTCAGAAATCCTTCACTCCCTAAATTACCACTGAAAATGTGACAAGTACAATACATATGGTATTCATCTTTTAAGCTTTTCTATTAGACTATTGTTTCTGATACTGCACTTTATTAAACACTTTACTTCAAGCTACAGTAGTGTCCTGGTTTTGGCTGGGGTAATTAATTTCCTTCATAGTAGCTGGTACAGGGCTATGTTTTGGATTTGTGCTGAGAACAGTGTTGATAACACAGGAAAGTTTTAGTTACTGTTGAGCAATGATTACACAGAGTCAAGGCCTTTCCTGCTTCTCACCCCAGCAGCAAGTAGGCTGAGGGTGTGCACGAGAAGCTGAGAGGAGACACAGCCAGGACAGCTGACCCCAGCTGATCCAAGGGATATCCCAAACCGCATGATGTCATGCTCAGCATATAAAGCTCGGTAAGAAGGAAGGGGGAGGATGCTTGGAATGATGGTGTTTGTCTTTCCAAGTAACCATTACAGGCCATGATCCCTTTCCTGGAGATAGCTGAAAACCTGCCTGCCCATGGGAAGTGGTGAATGACTGTCTTGTTTTTCTTTGCTTGTGTGTGGCTTTTGCTTTACCTGTCAAACTGTCTTTATCTCAACACACAAGCTTGCTCACTTTTACCCTTCTGGTTGTCTCCCCCATTCCAGTGGGGAGGAGTGAGCAAGCAGCTGGGTGGTGCTTAGATGCTGGCTGGGGTTAAACCATACAAGTAGTACAAAGCTGCTTTTGTGCCTTAAAGAGAAGGTATCTTTTTTTATCCACTGCCCAGCTTTTTGGGGACATCCTACACCATGAAGCAATAGGGGTTCATCACAGTGCCTGCAGGAAACAAGGGGTGAGCCTCTGGAAGTGTTAGATGCAACTACAGCACCCGATGGTTGAGCTACCTGGATTCACAGGGGTTCAGTAGCCTCCAGCCACATTACAACTGAGCCCCAGATTAAAGCTTTCTATCATCAGATATGGCCCATGTTTCATTTAAAAACATTCTAGTCCAAGCCTGCCTATGTTTTGGCTTTTCAAGCTTTGCCTGAAGAAACATGTAAAACCAAAACTATAAACATGCAGGTTCCCCACGGCAGAACAGCCCTGAACCATAGCATTTTATCTGCATTGGGTGCTTCACTTCTGCCTGAAGTCACCCTGTTCCAGCCCTAAACCACACCTCATAGGACTGGTAGCAACACACAAAGAATGAAGCTATAAGTACAGGAGGAATAAAGATAAAATAAGAAGCAAAATATACAGGATAACATATAAAAACATATGAACAGGAAATCTTGTCATTTTTTTTACTAGTAACATGAAGATGTGCATTAAGATATTAAAACATTAGTTATTTCATAGCTTTAAGAATCCTTTTTTACTTAGTAGGAAAACATTACCTTGAATCATGCTGGATGTTACAGGCTGGTTCTAGGGGCCATTTTCTCCCTGTGGTCAGCTTTCCCCAAAAGCGAGCACACCAGGATGCCTGTGGAGAGATATATGGGACCAGCCACAAGGCCACCTACTACTGAAGGGGTGTGAAGAGCTTCTAGAGCAAAGTCATTTCTGAAAGCACTTCACCTATCCCCACACTTGCCCTAGGAGCTATAAAACACTGCATCTATCTATCCAGAAACTGCAGACAAGCACTCATTAAGCACCCCAAAGTTAGTGCTCACCCGTGCTGCACCAGGCTCCCGGGCACAGAGAGCCCCAGTCAGGAGCCCTCAGGCTGGCACAGTCACTGCCCACTGAGGAGGCCCAGCCGGGCCGGGGGCTTTTGAGGGCCCAGCTGGGTGGGGGGGGGCTCATCAAGCCCCACGGCCTGCTGGGAGGCCCCGGGGCATAAAGAGCCGCTGCCCCAGAGCAGGGCTTAGTAGGCCTGGAGGAGCTGGAGTGGAAGCTGAGGGTCTCTCTGGCTTGGTGCTGAGCAAGGAAGCGAAAACTGCTCTGAAGCTGCAGCTGACAAGGTAGGGCCTCACACAGGGAGCTCTGTGGTGCTTAGTAGTAATCTCAAAACTCTCTCTGTGGGAAGATGTTTGTGTGGAGCAGGTAGTGGGTGAGTTGGATGTTTCTGCTGGGTCTTGTTTGTGGTTTTGTAGTAGATGCAGGTGTGGTTTTTACAGCAAGGAGGGGTGCCCTGGGTTAATCAGGGTGCTGCTGGGCTGTTCGTGTAGCTGCTGCTGTGGGGGGAAGCTGTGTGGTTACGGGCTTCTGCCTAAATCTGTGGCTTGTTCAGGCTAGCATAGCTGCTCCTTCCCTTGCACTCCTGTGTGGCTTAGTCAAGAAAAGCAAGTACAAATGGTGCGAGTGGTTTTCTGTTGCTTGTCTTGAAGGTCCTCCAGCCTGTAAGCACAGAAGTGTTCTTGAGAAGGACTGAGTGGAATGTTGTTCTGCCAGAAGCTTGATCAGTTTTGTGGAGCTGCCAGAAGGTGTGCTTGCTGTGTGAGGAAAGCTGTGCTCAGCAGAGCACTTCTGTGTGCGCTGCAGAGGTGTGGGTGCTGCAATAGCTGGTGTCTGCTAGGAAAGGACTTTTTTCTGTAGGGTTATAAAATACAGCTGGCTAGAAGCTAGGGTTGCCTTGCAAAAAGTGTGTATTGTCTCTGGTAATGTCCTACTGAAATTAACTGAAAACAATAGCAATCCTGTATAGATATAATTCCCAATTTAAGAAAGATACAAGATTGAAAATTATTTCTCTAGTCTCCTCAAGAAAAAAATCAATGATTTCTTTTGTTTGTTCTAAGCTTTCTCTGTTCTTGTTAATTTGTGTCCCACTGTAGGCTTCTCCCTTAAGATCAGAGCTAGAGATGACCTGAATGAGCCTGTCAAGTCTGAGCTCCTGCAGGCTCCAGGGAAATACCAATTTCTGTCTAGCTTTGAGCTTTTACTCCTAGCTTTAGTAAATTGATGTAACTTTCTATATTGCTTCCATGTTAACATATTGCAGGAGGCTTTTTGGTTTGGAAGCAACAAAGTATATAAATGAGCTGGAAGATAAGAAACAGCATCTGTCACAGTGGGGATCCAGCAATTCTTTACTGACTAGAGTTTTGTGAAGGTTGTTGAGTACTTGAGGAAAAACCATATGATGCTTACTAAGATGATGATATATTAACTTGAGGGCAAAGAGTGAACAGAGTCTGCCTTCCTGAGCTTCAGGTGGGGTCCACCTGCAGGCTTGAATACTGGCATCTCGGAACACTGAGGTCTTACCTATGTGGCTCTCGTTAAGCATAATAAAGCTTTCTTGACTGCACAAGCAGGTCAAATAGTTCTTACAGGCCTCATTTAGAAGGGTGAGCCATATGGCAAAGGGTGTTATTTGCCCTGAAGTTAGCATCTAATAGCTCATGTGACAAATCATTCTTCACAAAAAACAGACTAGAACCAAGCTGACTTCATTATCAACAGACACATCAGTATTTCTGTATTTATTAAATTAAAACCACACAAAATATAACTGCACACAAGAGCACACATCTTGTATTCCAATGCCATATCTCATGAAGAAAAGTCTCTTGCTGGAGCTGTTCCCTTTTATTAGCAGAAGTCTGATTTGCAAACAGTTGTTTAACCACAAAGGCTTTAACTACTCAAAACAAGTTGAATTCCCCATTCTAGGAATACATCATAACCCCACACAGAATTCAGAGGCAAGTTCTGCAGCCCTGAAGTAAACAAAACTTCCTCAGCAAACTTGCCTGTTTGCAGAATACTTCAATTACTTCCATAGTTTGTCATTTACAAGCAAACTTATCCAATATTTTTTAAATACTTAAAACAAATTTCACTTTAACAAGTATTTACAAAATCTTTACTAAAGATCAACATCCTGCATAAAGGTGACCTCAAGGATATATTGTTGCTACCATGCTACAGTTTGCACAGAAGGGGTATAAAGGCCATTGCTAGTTTTGGAAGGCTTAAACCCTTTGTTGATATAGCATAAGGACATTAACCTATGGAAGGCAGAAGAGGTCATAATTTCAGTGCAATTACCCATTCATGACTTGTTTTAAGTACATCAAGATGAGTCCAAAAGACTTGGGTTTTGAACTATTGACCATTTAGTTCTTTAAGAACTGATTTCATGGGAAGTTTTCAGGCCATGGCATCTGTCTTCTACTGATGATATGAAGAAGTTGCATAGGGGCCTTCCTCATTCTCCTCCTCTCTAAAAAGAAAATGATCACAGTCATCAGATCAGGAATATAACATGAATACTAAAACTGTAATGCAAATACAGATAACCAGCTTCCCTACTGGATCAAAATAGGTCAGAGTGGCTCTGCTTAACAGGCATATTATCTGCAGTGTATTAGTATTCCTTATGTACCTCTGGAGTTCTTGTTTCAAGAGCAGAATGCTGAAAATTAAAGCTGTATAAGTTTAACAACATCAGAATTTGTTTTGAGTCTAATGAACTATTATACTACAATGCCAATTCAATAGGAAATCCTGTAAAGGATACCGAAGTGCTGGACTTCAGTACTGCTGCTTGCTTTTTGCTTTTTTTTTTTTTTTTTTCTTAAAGCAAGCTTAGCTGTAGGCTTGTTTCAGCCTTTTGAATGGTAGGGGGTACAGGCAGACTGAATGAAGCAAGAACAGGAGCAGTCCATCATAGTTGTAGCTGGACCTGTGCCTTGATGCTTTAAGGATATTCCCTGAGCGGGCTCCTTGATGTATATACTTCCTGTGCATCAGTGTTGAGAATGATCACTTGGATTATCTTCAGAGAAAAAAGTTGCCCCCAAGTGCTGCTGTTAATGCAATGACTGCATAAACCAAAGTAGTGTTGCTATTGAAAAAAATCCTCATGAAAAATCTGCCTACTGTTTACTTGACAATATTGCCTCTTAACGTGGTTATGTAAACCTAGTGCTGTGCAGCAACCAGTACTAATTCAAGCATGCCAAGTTCTCCAAAGATCATTTTCTACTACTGTACCTTCAAAATTATGTTCCTGAGAACCTATTCTTAAAGCTGCAGCCAATTTTTAGTGTTTTGGTGAGAACAGAAAGACTTAAGAGTTGCCACACTGTGAGCTTCAAAGGATTTTCAGTCATTTTTAATACTGTATGTGCCTCCATACAAAGGTACTGTTATTGAAATAGTCTAATAATAAGGTAAAAACTACATATTTCAAGTGTTCCAAAACCCCAATCATTCAGACTTTTCACTAATTTCTAAGCATGATTATTTATCTGCAACTTATATTTTCTATAACCTCCCCTGAATAGAATCTCAGGAAAGAACCCTAGAAACTAAGCAAGCAGCTGTGTACTTGCACTCATTTTCTCAGCCCTTCCCTGTTCTTGGCTAGACCAGCAATACTACATTCTGAAGCCAAAGGCATGCTGCTACTTTTGCCTTGAAACAATCTTGTAACAAAAAAAAAAGGGGGTGGAGGGTGTTGGATGAAACCGGTTGTTATTGCAGGGTTGTGTGGTTACAGTAGTACTGAGAATGGGTTTTAGCTTTTCTTACACTACATGATTACTTTAGTGATGCTACAGACCCAGTATCAAGTACAATTCTTAAGATATAGGTCTATGATGTTTTAAGTAGTATCCTTATGTCATCAAGTCTGCATTCAAAACTGGTGTAGAACACTACAGTTTGCAGATACTATTTGTAATACCTGGCATGACAGTAAAGTAAGGAAACAAACAATTTGTGTCTGGTTGAATAAGCTCTAAAGCACTTGTGTGTAAATCGTCTCAAGACAATACATTTTAAAACTTAAGTTTTCAGAATTAAAGCCTATCAACATACCAAGCTTGTAACGCTGGGCTGCAGGACTGTAAAATCCAACTATAACTACTTGGCTGAAGCTGAGTATTCAAAAAGTATATTCTGGAGCTCTGGTATCAGCACTTCTGGAGCAATAGGCTTTTAGCCACATGTGTCCAGAACACAGCTGCAAATAGCAATCTCCTGCTAGTTTGTGAGGATGAAGGAGAACTTTTATATTTTCAGAGCTTACACTGTCTAGTAGGGGAGAAACCTTTTTATGCTGTACACTGAAAATTACTTTGTAGTTTGTTATACTTGCTATACTTGCCCTTTTAAGAGAGTAAAATGTGGCAGAGTTACCACAAAGAGGATTCCCTTTTACTCAGTCTGCCAGAATTGGCCTTTCAGTCTTCTTGAAAGCCTTAATATAGGAATAACATCCATCATGACATGGCAACAGCCAAACACTGGACTGAAATTAGTGCAGTTGATTATGGTGGACAGTAGGGGCAAATATGGAGAACTGAAGCACTGAAGTAGTGATGTTATATTAGCAGGTGTTCAGACATCAAAGTAACAAAACATCTGATCTGTGTTTGTTTCCACTTCCCTTGTGAAATGCACTTGGGCTATGGGCTCCTGGCAATTATCAGGAGAGGGCAGATGACTGACACTCGGGTTACAGCCAGTTTTGGAGATTTCTGTATGTGGCAGGGATGTAAAAAACCATGTAGTAGGTCCTTACGCTTGAACCTGGCTGTAATGTACAAAATAATAGGTTTCTGACCAAGGCTCAGGCATGCTGCAGTTTTCAGTAAGGGCTGGTAAGAATAGCTTCTGACCTTCTGTCCCAGGCCGCAGTACTAGACTGTAATGAAGTCTGCAGCACATTCCTGGCCATTATCTTGGTTTGGAGTAAATATTACTACTGTAGATCTTCAGAACTGTACAGATCAAGTACATGTCTCTTCTGATGGCTTAACAATAAGCCAAGATTTACATGAAATAAAATTATACAGTACTAGCTGTAGCCGCTGGCCCACAAGCACCAACATGGCAGTGTGTGTATGTTTAATGACCAAACAAATTTCTGCACTTCTAAGATTTTTAAAATAGCAAAGTGGTAAGTCACTGCAACATTCTCCTTCAGGCAAAGTGAAATGAACAGCAGAGCATTACAATGCTTTGTAGCGCTGTCTCTTCCTGTTTGCTGTTGCTGCTTTGCCTGTAGGTTACAGGAGCTGAAAGACATCTACTGCAAGGTTTTGTATGTATCGGGCCATAAATAATGCTAATAACCACTTCTCTAAGACCAAGTGCACCTGAGTGGACAAGCAAACTTGAATTCAATGCTTGGATGCTTCTAGAATCCACAATTAAACAGGGCAGCAATCTGAGTTTGAGAGTTAAAAGCTTCTGAAAACCTGAAAGGATTCTCCATAGTCAGCCTCCTTTGAGGTATCAGCTTTTTCAGCTGATGGCAAATGATGGTGAAAAAATACTAGGCAAATTAGTTACCAGTTTCAAATTATTTGACACCTTACTCTTTCCCAGAGTCAGGTCAAGGAACTGAGCAGATGACAGTACATGCTTCTGTTCTCATGCTGCATGCCAGTTACATGGGCTTGTACAACTAACAGTGGTTAGAGTGGCTCTACTCAGTTAAAAGGTTTTCAAAATGAGTCACTGAAAGTCAACTGCAGAGAGATGTGAACTGTCCCAGAAGCACAATATATAGCCCCAGTGTTCTAGTCTACCACAGTACCACCCTAAGACTATAAAGAACTTGCATTAGACCCCTCTGCAAAGGAGAAAACACTTACATTCACTTCCTGACAGACTGTAGAGGGGTGGATGTAGTTGGAGAAGATAAGGCAAGGGTAACTTTTGTGAGCCATGACTGAAAGCCAGAGATGGTGGGGTGAAAGGTGTTATTATGAGAACTCTGAGACATAAAGGAAGCTTTTTCTCTTTAGAAGTTTTGGATAACATCCTGCTCAGCAGATAGCCTACAGGTCTGTATTTTGTGCTTCTTGTAGCGTCGTGACCAATAAAATGTGCTCTATGCATAATTAACAAAATTACCTGCTACATCTGAACAGGAGGTGGGAAAGTAACTTCTCCTCCTGTATCCATTACTCCTTGGGAGGAGATTTAGTACCAGGCACTCATTTCCCAAGTTGTAACTTAGGCAATATACAAAATGGATATTAGTTGTAGCAATGTACTAGCTGTGTGGTGTCACTCTCTGTATTGGCTCTGCTCATGGTGCAGCAAGGTCTAAGTGAATTTTCTTCTGTAAATGAGTATGTTCATTTGGAGGGATGTTAAAATAATTGCCTCCCTCCAGCAGGGACTTTGGTTTCATGTCACCCAGCTTAACTGCTGGGTCAACACCTTCTCTAATGTGTTAGATACATGTCTAATGATCTGAGAGGCAGCAGTAGCACATTTTGATAGATAATCTATACTGCTTCAAATACAGCAATGCAACTGAATGAGTTTGAACAGAGAAGGATCTGAGTTCCAACAACTGTTTTTCCTCTTTAATGTAATCAGTTTGAAAGAAAATAATTGAGAAGCATACTAACAAGGTGTGAAAGTGTTCCAGCCTGCCCTAATTAGACTAATTCTAACCCAGTGTCCTCCTGGCTTTGGAGAGCTGTATGTGGACTGCAACAGGTAATGAATTGCCTTAAGCTGTCTTACAGGGTATTTCTCCCAATAAAGCTTCTCCAATTGCTAAATGCACTATATTGCTCCTCCTCAAATTTTTTAAGTTGCTGAAATAATCCCTTGTTTAAGAAAATATGTGACTCAAGATTCAATTCTGAAAGCTTACTTTCTTTTTAACATTAGGAGTTAAAATCGGTATGCGAAGTGAACCAAGATGATGGAAGTTTTGCATTAAATTTGCAAAAGTGAAGTACGTATCTGCAGGCACAACATCTCTCCAGCTCTCTAGTAAGAGAAGTGATACCAGTCTCCTGCAGTCATACATTTTTTTTTTTTGTCATAGAACCATAGAATGGTTTGGGTTGGAGGGGACCTTAAAGCTCATCCAGTTCCAACCCCCTGCCATGGGCATAGAAACCTTCCACTAGACCAGGTTGCTCCAAGCCCCATCCAACCTGGCCTTGAACACTGCCAGGAATAGGGCAGCCACAACTTCTCTGTGGGCAACCTATGCCAGTGCCCCACCACCCTCACAGTAAGGAATTTCTTCCTAATGTCTAATCTAAATATCTCCTCTTTCAGTTTAAAACCATTTCCCCCTTGAGAAAGGCCACCTTGGCATCACCCACTGAGAGGCAATTTCTGCAGAGAATACACAGGCAGACAACCAGCCCAAGAGACTGCTTGTGAACAAGATGAGGAAGTTTGTCCCAAGGATATGGGAAAACAAACACTGCTGAAGTCCATTATTGTTCTAAGTCTTTCTGTGCTCCCCGCGGGATGCCTATACATGTGAGGGGATAATCACTGTCGCACAGAGGTCAAGAGGTACTGATTTTAATGAATCAAGTGTATGGGAGTGCCTGGCTGTAGAAGAATACTGAAGAAAAGTCTACATAGGTGGATCCACAAAGGGAGGGACTGCATAGGGAAAGGAGATAGCTTAGTTGAAACTGCAACATGAAGAATAGCTACACAACTATAAGGCAATTAGGACAGAAAAAAATGCAATCAAGCCTTGCTGTAAGGCAATCAGTTTCCACATAGGCCTTGGCTTAGTATCTACTGGAAACTACTGGTTTGCTTAAAAACTTGCATTGCAAGACATCTCGAAGAACGCTGGCTTTCTAGCTTTCATGGAATATTACTGCTATTCTATAAACAATGTGTTATAAGGAAGCCTTTATAACTGCCAGATCAAGGCATCTGCTAATGGTGTACTCTGAATGTATCTGGTGCATGGCAATAGCATAGACTTGCTGTTGATAAACTAAAACTGGAAATGCTGTCCGAGACCCCACAAAGAGGGTTCAGCTCAGACTAAAAAGCCTTTAGGATGAGATTGAGAAGCTTAATACTAAAAGTGGCATTTACCTGACATTGTCATCTTTTAGTTTCCTGGCTGCTTGTTTTGATAACTTAATCTGCAAGTCCAATCTCTGTAGGAAATCTTTGGCAGACAGTTCTTCTGGTGCAGTGGGCTGATTGTCAGGCTCTTGAGGACTGGGAGAGGAGCTACTTTCTTCCTGAACTGTCATTAGTCCTCCCTCACAAGAAGGGGAGCTGGCAACAGTTTCATTCTCAGGAGACTCCAGTGAATTAAGTCCATTGAACAGTAACGGTTTCTCTGATACAACAGGAATATTCAGAGTTTTCCTCAGAAATATACAGTCATTAGTGAACAGTTTATTTGCCCTCTTTATTTGTTCCATCTGAAAAAGATAAGAAAAGTAAGTTATTAGGTTTTGGCAAAGTATAAAGTACTAACCTTCCAAAGCATACAGTAACCTTTAGTTACAATAAATCTGTACTTTCTTTGCGGCAGCAGTGGCTTCAGAAGTATCTTTTTGCATTCAAAGTGACTTCAGAGTGCATGTTCTGTCTTAAGGTACCTTAACACCCCAGCTTCTTCCTTTTATGTATACTCCAAAATATTGCATTGTAAGTCTTGTGCTACCTAAAGATGCTTTTCTTGAACAGTCTTCCAATCTCTATACAGGCTCACATGAACAACTTGCCAAAGAATAAAATTCTACTGCAAAAGTGCTGCTGATTTGGATTTATATTAGAGTAAGGCTCAGAACTGCTAGTAGCTGCTCTAAGTGAGCTCTCTGGTGAAAAGTATGCATAATACAAACAAAGGGTGATAAAGTTACCTTACATATTCAAGGATGTATTAGTTTTGAACAAGTCTTAGAAGAACAATTAATAGATGCCTTATCCTAGTATTTACCCCTTAATTGATGTAACAAATTCAGACTTTGTATCAAGTCCTGATGATAAGTCAGACAGTGAAAAGGAGACTCTCTTCGTAAAGCAGCTGTGTAGACTAGTGACTGCATTTGTTCAGTAAAGTGAACCTACAGCATGATTAACAGGAGCTTTACGTGTGATAATGCATGGTAACAGCCACCACATTAACTGTTAAGTACTTTTTGCAACTTTTACCTCAAGTACTACTTACAACCTACTGATCAGTACAGACTATCTCATGACAAGCAAGAAGATTCCATCTTTCTCAGCATACTCATGCATAAAGTCCCACTTGTTGTATACTTAACCTGAAAAGCTATTATAAATTCCATAGCTTTACAGGCAAATAAAAGCGCCCAGTAAATGTTTATACTATCTCCCTATTAAGAATGTTGTTTAAGTTCTTGCTCATCAGAATTTGCCTTCCAAGTAAACAGGAAGCTTCACTTCCTATTTCTCAAGTGCAAGCTTTAAAAAAGCACAGAAATTGGTATCCATTGTTATGCGACTTTAAGCTTTAGTTGTAACCTGAACTCATGATTTCACTAGGAAAAATCCTAAGTGACACTCTTAGATAACTGGGTTAGCGTGTCTATGTGCTGCTTAGGGCATACGAGCAGGGGAAGCTGTCTAAAACCAAGGGGAAGCAGTGGAGATGTCAGTTTTTCTCCTCTGCAGATGTGAGACTGTGGCAAACTTACAGAACTGCAATGAACTACTGTATGCAATGTAGACCTGTACTGTATGACTTACAAGAGTATCTGCTGAAGAGCTATTATAGATCTGGTGTCATGTATGGATGCATTTGCTTGGATCCTGGAAGCCTGATGAAATCTTCCTCCCTAAAAATAAATAGGAGATTCTCTCTAGAAGGGCTACGTGTATGGGCAAGTAGTGGAAACAGTGCAGTAAGTTTCACCAGTGAGCTATTTCTACCATTAAATATACCAAAAATTGCATTCTCTACTTACAGACAACCCCAACCTGTTGATGCAGATGACTAAATAATGAAATTATTAGATTTAGTAATTCCTTTAAAAAACTGAGTAACATCCAGCATCAGACAGTAAGTTACTACCAATAAGAGAAGCTCATTACTGTTCCAGCTCCTGAAATTATTTTAGTTGCCCTTACTCAGTACAGGGTGCAAATTCTCTCCCAAGCTGAGTACCATCTGAAGGGCAGAAAGGAAGCTTCACTTGACTTAGTAATGAGACCTGTAATGGCCATCTGATGCTAGTGTGAATGTCAATTGTCAAAACTCAAAGTTGTCTGTCTTGATGGGCATCGGACATGTTTAAAATGCTAGCAGGAGCTTTTCTCTATAAATACAACATGAAAGCTGAAAACTGACATCTCTATTACAGGGGAGTTGGAAGGTGATGCTTCAGTAGCTAATTAATAATGCACTGTACTGCTATTCTCTGTCTTACTTCACTGTAACTCTATCTCTGGTTATTTCTTCCTAAAATACCTCTTAAATATTGTGGCATTTGGAAGACCATGCACCTCTGCACTGCATAACAATAAAACAGGAAATACTTGGTTCTAAAAAAGAACATCCCTTAGCCTTGACCAGGTTACTTGATATGTGCAGTACATACTCCTACAACTCAGTATGACTCCACAAATGCATAGATGTATGGTGAACAGGATTTAATAATAGTGGCTTTAGTGTTAGGAAAACTGAGCTAATTTCTGTTACAGGTCTATAATAGTTAAATCATGTGCTAAAGCCTTTGCTCTTTAACCTTTAACTGGAGCTGCACCAATGCATAAACTGGGGCTACTTCTACTGACAATGAAACAAATGTCCTCTTCCTTCTCCCTTCAGAAGAGATACCTTTTGTATGAGGGGAAAACAGCACTCCAACTGAACCATAAACACTAAATATTCATTCCCAGTGTTAACTTACCCAACAGTACTCAAAGGAAGATCTAATAAACACAAGCCATACAAGATTAATAGAAAATACTTAGGAGAGAGGGGTGAAGGGCGGAGGATGAGGCCAAACAAAGTACACTGATCTCTCTTCCCCAGCCATGTTGGTTTTGTCCATTTTAAACTGCCTGTGCTGTGTCATGCCTAGGCAGGCACTGGACCTGATGTTTCTTGCTACAAAACTCCCATTGAGGAAAACCACAGGGGAAAACTTCTAAAAACAGTCATACTGAAGGCAATGGGTGCCAAAGATAACACTGATGTTTCCATTATGGCAACTCTCACTTCTAGCCAAGTATGTGGAATGCATGAAGCAAATGTAATGAGTCTTTAGTGGAAGTCAGTCCTTGTCACTGTGTGAACATGTAAGATTCATTTTGCTAAAAGCAAACATGTTTGCATACATTCCTACCCCGGGCAGAAACACTATGGCCGATTGCACTTAACCTGACATTGCTCTGGGTTAAACAGACATGAATTGTCCCTTTCCCAATTAAGTTTATAATAATGCAGCTCTAGTTTCTTAAGCAGAAAATGAGCAACATTAAAACAAATGAAATATTTTTTAAAAATGCATTTGTACTTTAAATGCATGATTAGCACAGCACAAACTCACTAAACTTATCCTATGAACAAAGTTTATAGTATTTTTTCAGACTGTACAGGCTTGATCCACAACTTAAGCTGAAAAGGAGTTGTAAAGTGTTTAGAAATGCCTTTCTTTTTTCCCCTAGAAAACTACTATTTTAGTAACCTGATTACATTTTCACTTATCACAGTGAGCAAATACACTCCTGGCTAGAGAACAACATAGCTAAAATCATTTAGGCCAGGGTCTTTGTTCATTATGGAAAGCACTGCTGAAACCAGAACTTCAAACAAATCCAAGGAGCAGCTCAGGTCACTTTGCTTTGCCCCCATAGAGAGTGAAACTTTGTTTAGTGTAGACCAGTGTAAATCCAAAATGCCAGTAATCCTGTCGCTAACAAGATTTGGTCAAAAGTGACTTAATCTTTAAGTGAAGAGAAATACTTTTAACCCTTCTCTCAACAAAGGCTGAATGCTATTGGGAGTTCCTGGAAGGCTTTGGTAGACTTTGCATAACCAGAGAAGGAAAATAAACCTATTCCAGTCGGAACATATTAATTCAGGACTGCATCATACCTTTACCAGAAGGAGCCCAACTGATAGGTTCTCTTTGCAGCTGATGTGGCATTGACTGTGTCCAGCATCATGTTGTTAGATATGTACATCAGCTGCTTGTCCCCAAGTGATTTTGCATGTTGGGACTACCAAGGCTGTGTACAGGTATGTCGGGTGGTGTTCACTGCGCTTCAAATAAGCTGGAATGAAGGCAGGGTAGGTGAGTTCTGCTCTGTGGCAGAAGGTAGTGCTGGGGCCTGTTGGCTCTGCATGTCTCAGGCTGGCATAAGCCTTTCAACATTTTCCACAGATGGAAACCTTTCTTCTTTATAGGAAGAGAGCAGAGAAGCAGTGATACTTTCAAATCAGTTATAAGTCAAGTCTAGGCTGGTAGACAGCAGTCCAGATGAAAGAATTTCTAGCCCTGAAGCTACTGGAAGAAATTCTTTATTCTTGTCACAGCCCACATGTGTCAGTCTCAAAATAATGATTCTTTTGGAGATAAATTTACACTGTTTTCTTTTTAATCTTAAGTGAGTGTCGTGGTGAATTGTCATGTGAGCACAGGTTTACTGGGTGGGAGCAAGTGCATCTCCCTTCCCTGGGGACCACCAGCCAGTCCTGTGGTCCCAGTGCTTGTCAGTCACAAGCCCATGCTGGATAGGGCCTCATGCCCTGCCTCGGGCAGTGTGAGTGTTGGCCACTGACCACCAAAGCAGGGTGCTGACCCCTCCAGGCAGGTCAGAAGATCCAGATGTCAGCATTTTACATACTGAAACTAAACCTAGCACTGTATCCACGGTAAGAACTGAATCGCCTGCCCGCTGTGGTAGGGAATGCTCTACGGGGAAACTCCGTACAGTAATCCCTCGGCTGTTTTCTACTTCCGGTGCCTGCTCCCCTTTAACTCCGTTACTTTTGGGGCCGA